GGCCTTGCTGCTCTGAGGGAAAGCAAAGCGAGATGCAGCGTAGGTCCCATGGATCCTAGTGTGCGAGGGCTGCGTGCGGCCTCAGGCTGGTCTGCGAGTAGGATGCATGGTGATCGGTCCACAGGTGAGACACTACCTTTGTGTTGGGGAAATGGTCCCAGGATGCACTGGAATCCCTTTGCCTACCGTGCTTGGCCGGAACCTGGAAATTATTCAGCCATGGACAAGAAACACAGTATCTACCCGCATTCCCTGGAAAGAAGCTCACTGCAATTTAACCTGTCCCTGATTGTTATGTTGTAGGCTCCAAACTCTGTATTCTGTCCAAACACAATTTTAAGTTGAATATAACATTAAAATGAGAGGCTTATGCCTACTAGTCCCAGAAGAGCTGAAGTCTTATCGGTGTTCTCAATAGAGAAAGAAATACCAAATGGACTTGGATTATTGAGTGATATCTTCATCCTTGGGGTAAAAAAATATAATGGAGCATAAACAGGAGGAGGTGAATTCAGTTTATCTGTCTTCTATGGACATGAAAGCCATGTGGAGCAAGGTGATCAGACTGGAATAGTCCAGAATCTGTCTGTGTAGGGTCTTATCCAGAAGGCCATACAAGACGGGGAGATCTGTTATGTGGTCATTAGAGTCTTACCCATGCCTGTGTTTGGTGGGGACTGGCTAGAGTTTACAGTGTGCTAATACCCATCCGAGCTGCTTGCCTTTACCTATGGCAGCCCCAGACATCATTGATGTGTACCTACGTATTGTTCCTTTTCAACTTTACTTTGCAGTGAGTCAGAAGAGGCTGTACAAGGTGACATTTCTTCTAAAGCTGCTGCATATGTAGCCTTTGGACTAATCAAAATTGCTGGTGCTTTTTCTGTGACAAAAGAGCACAGCGTCCAAGATAAACCAAGGAGAAGAGATCTGGGTATGCAAGCCTTCATTTAAAAAAGGCATCTTTCATCTCGCTGACAGCGAGGTTCCTGCAGCGCTTTGATTGCCCTTTAATTATGCCTGTTTTTCCTGGTTTGTTTGAAAGGCAGATCTTGTTAGAAAAAGGTGCTGTGTGGAAAGAACTTGGCTGTCTCTGCTGCCCTTCCTTGAGGGCACACAGCAGAGTTGCCAGATTATATTTTTTTTTTCCTGCGTTATTAAAATGGAAGATTGTTTCTTGTAGATTTGAATGTAGGCATGGTGTGTTTCTCCCAAATTAGGCAAGGAGGGGCACAAGTGGTCGGGTGGTTAGAGCAGATGGGGAAGTCATGAGGTCTGGCTTCTTCCCATGTTGACTTCCAGTGTGATCCCGGAGGAGGTGATTTAATCCCTCTGCCTTCAGTCTTTCGTTCTTCGTGGCTGGGCTGCTGCTCGTCTGCCCCAAAGGCTGCGGAGGACAAACAACCTCTGGTGTTGGGTGTAGGAGGGTCTGTAGCGAGTTGGGGTGAACATCACCAGATGTGAGGGAGTTAACAGCTTGTACCAGCTCACAGGTTTCATGCTGTTTGGTGTTTTGTCTTTAAACCTCACCGTTTTATGGAGCCATTTGTCTCTATGCGAATCTCAGCTTTCATTAATAATAATAAAAAAAACATGAAAAAAATCAACAAAAAAGGAAAATAAAGCCTGGCTTTGGTTGGAGAGAAAAGCCTGGAAATACAATTCAAATATAGACTAAAGGCTTAACGGCCAAGCAAGGGAAATAATTTGAGAACAGGTTTCTAATCCTTTTAGAAATCTCAGTTTTAAAGAAAATCTGAAAAACTTTTGAGGGCTTGACTTATATTTGTAAGGGCTTGGGCTTGACAATGCTCTATTTTTAAGTGCTGTCTTTATGTTGAATCTTGGGAGGTGAGATGAATTTTTTTTTTTAAAGTAACAACAAATCTTAATATAGCTGAGAATGCGGAACTGCCCTTAGAAAAATAGGTTGGACACATGAAAAGGAATCTTGCTCAGCAGGCTGAAGACGCAGAGCAACTTCTGCGGTTACGTTTTTCTTTCTTCTGGCAATTTTGGGGTGGGGATGTAGCTGGCGCAGTCACTTAGCCTTACATTTCTTTTCAAATGCAAGTCAAATATTCCTGAGCGAAAAGCAGCTGGCTTGAAACAGTTCTAGCCCAAACTGGAAAAGCTGTTCGCTAAAACTCTGTTTTTGTGGAACTTGAGGCAACCTGAAGTTGCTCAAAAACAGGATTTCTGAGATGGATAGGGAGAAGCAGTTGATCCTTTTGAACTGAAATGACTTTGTATGAACAAGAGAAGACAGACTAGCACTCTACTGCTTCAGAGAGGTGATGAGGTTTTAGTTGTCATCTCCTGTGCAGAGTCCCCAGAGACTTAAATGGCATGAAAATGAAGTCAGCTGCTTAAAGCCAAAAGTAATCAAATGAGGAGACTCTAAAGTAGGAGGAATAATCGTCATCATCTGACAAGCAATCCCAAATTCCCATGGGATGCCCATGCAGCTCTGCTGCCATAGCATGCGTCTGTCGTGCCAAGACCAATATTTCTACCTTCAGCCCAGTGTGCTGCATGGGCTTTGCAAGGCTGGTAAGCCATGAAAACTGAAAGCATGAACCTGAATTATCTGGTGAAGAAGTGACACCGCTGCTAGGGAACTGGTGGCTGATGCTGCACGTTGAGTCCAGGGGTGTCCGGTGGTGTGAAACTCAAACAAGGGATTTCACAGAAATTTTGAGACTGTGGTGGACCTGCTGGCATGGCTGCTCAGGCATGTTTTCTTGAAGAAGGCAGTCACTTCATACAGATGTGAGAGTTGTGTGTGAATATTCAGTATGGGTAAACTTAAAATTAAAATTTAAAATGTAAAAATATGCAAACACCAGAGCTGAGGCTCTTTTTAAAAAAAACAAAACCCCTGCTTAGGGAACACAATTATTCAGGCTGTGCATACATCTGATTACCTACCTCCAAAGTGGGTGAGAGCAGCTCTTCAAACTCCTTGAAGCTTTCCCCCCGGGTGTGCCAGTGCTGCAAGCAAAATGCTCTTGTAAAGCTGAAGGTAGCAAAAAGGGAAGGAGGGTGGATAAAAGCTGGCAGAGCCATCGTCTGAGTTAGTCTGGGGAAGGTTGAGAAGAGTGTATTTTAAAATAACTTTCCTGGTTGAGATTTGGGATGTATTTAACGCCTTCCAAAAAAGTCGTCTTGGAACACGGGTTTGGGATGCTGAGACAGAGGCTGGAAGGTGAGCAGGCATTGAGCGCTGGCTCGCCTTCGGCGCTGCCATCCCCGCGCGTTGTCCTGGCTCGGGCCACCGCAGAACAAGCAGTGCAGGTTGGGGTGGCTGGGGTTGGGGCTCTGCCAGCACGCTGCACGTTGCATATTTCCCTTTGCACAAGCGGGACTCGGCGTGGCCATTGCCAGCCCCGTGAGACCGTGTGTGTGCACAGGGGAAGGGATTGGGACTCTTTGCCGAGCTGGTGTGCCAGCCGCTGGTGCTCACAGGGGCTGCAAGAAATTGCATGTGAATCTTGAGCATTCAGAGAAGTTACTATGAGAGAAGATGCTTATCCATACTATTTCTCAACCCACCCTGGCTTTTTATACAGCTGTGTTATATATGGAAAAAAAGAAAGAGCTTATATCTCTAATCTGGTGATACTTATTACATTTCCATTTCCCCTCTTTTGCTAAAACTAGTGAAGGATGTTGCAGAACCTGTGCAAAGAAGCCCACGCTAAGCACTTTGCAAAACCACAAATCCAGCCCTAACCCCTAAGCTTTTCAAAACCTATCCTGAGACTTTGCAACACCAGGACGGCTCCGGGAGGTGGCACTAATTCACTGCAAAGACTGTCCAACAGGTGCTTAGCACAACAAGCAAGTGATCAGGCAGTGGAACAGTATTCCTGCAAAATCTTTGTCAAGGTGCTTCTGATTCTCAAGGCTTTCATTGATTGATTAGTGCTGGGTTCCCACCTTTGTTCTTGAAGCAGCAAGGAGAGTAGCCACTGCAAGTCTTGGTAGCTCATAAATTCCTGGTAATTAATCTTTGCAGCTTCTTGTGAAGCGTGCCAATAACAAGCATTGTGTCTGGAGAAAAGCCTAGCACACAGGAAGCCCATGTTCTGGATGCAAAGTACTCTGGTCTATCTGCTCATATCCTCACAAGGATATTTCTTCCTTCTGTTAAGCAGCATTGGAGTTGTTCTCTGGTTGTTGGTTTGGGTTTTTGGTTGGTTTTTCTTTTTTTTAAGGCAATTATGAAAATTAAATTAGATATGTTGAAAATCACTCAATTTATTTTTCTCATAATTCAATTTTGTTATTAAAAAAATGAAAATATTACTCTTTCCCTTTTGGATTCGAACATTAACAGGGTATTGTAGGTGTTAATGAGGAATACTCAAAATGGTGTTCATCTTTTTAAGTCCAGAAACTCTTTCACTGAAATGTCATTATTGCTGTGTTTAAAAATAATGTTACTTAATATTTTTTTAAATTATTAACATAATTCTCACACACACACACCCCCCAAAAAAAACCCCCAAGTAGTTTCAAGCATAGGCTGTGCTCACAGCAGCTAATGTAAAACTCATGGAAAGCTTTGTTTTAGCTTGCCCAAAGTAACATAAATTTTTTTGAAGCACAGATTTGTTCTTCCCAAGATGGTAAAATGTTGGCCAGTGAAGGTGGGGTGTAGGAGGATTCCTGTTGCTAAAAATTTGATGAGGACATTTTGAGATCTCTTGGGCAGAAATATCTGGGGAAGATGGGTGGAGTCTTCACAAAGTTTGGAGAGTTTGTTGAAATTCATTCTGGACACAGTGGCCGTGGCTTTGTCCCCAGTAATGGTTTATATAAAGAATTAAGAATGTCATACCACTTCTTGGGGATTTTACCTGATGTCTCAGAAGATAGAAAGTCCTGTTTGTGGTAGCATTTAGATCTTGGCGCTAACCGAGCTGTCCCTTGCTCAGCTGCCAGCCAGGAGTCTGTGTGCCACTACTGACGGGTGCTGCTTTCCCCTTCTGCAGGTTTTCATTTCTGTGAACTGCCTCAGCACGGATTTCTCCTCTCAGAAGGGAGTTAAAGGCCTGCCCCTGAATCTTCAGATCGACACCTACAGCTACAACAACAGGAGTAACAAACCTGTCCACAGAGCCTACTGCCAGATTAAAGTCTTCTGCGACAAGGTAAGGTTGGGTCAATGTACCAGTGACCCTTTGGGAAAGGCTGTTCCACAGCTTAGCAGCTTTCTTTTTTTCTTCTAATTCTGCCACTTGCTATTTTGGCTCACTGAGAACTCCTGTCTGTGTTCAGCCTTTGCAAGGGAAAAATTTCAACCCCTTCTACTTGGCTCATAGATGTTATGATGACCTCAGATAAATTTGCTGCTCTCAAAGTGCTGGAGTGCTGAGAAGTGTTCCTGAGCATTGACTTTGGAGAAAGGTCAGCCAGTGGCAGAAGACTGGCTGTCGGTACTACAGAGACTGGGAAGTCCTGCAGAGTGCTTTCAGTAGGAGAAATCATTGCAATTGATTGGAGCAAGTGGAAGCTTGTCTTTTTGCCCAAGCTATGTCGGGCTGGTCCTTTTAAATTTCTTTGTGCGTTCTTACTGTATTTGTTACTAAAAAAAAAAACCAAACCCAACAACTTGCATATCTTGTGAACAGAAAATGTGGCTGTTGTCATTGTGCCCCTGTGAGATACAGCAGTATAACAAAGCCCATTTACAAGCTGGATGGGTGCTGTAATTTGACTACTCCGCCTAATGCATTTAGCACACAGAGAATTAACACCTTTCCCAAAGCCACTGTTCACCTGAAGCTGTGAAACCCAACAGGAGCTGAGCTGAAAGCAGTTGTAAAAGCTTAACTGAGTTGGCAAAGAAAGGACATTTCCCCAATCTTGTTTAACCTGTTCCTGTCAGAACAGTCTTTTGAAGGATCAGAGCAAGTAATGTGCAATGTTACTATTTCCAGAGTGACCAAGATCTTTCTAGGCTGGGATGAGCACTGCCCAGACTTACCCAGTCCTTCTTTTGATCACTGAATGTCGTGGTTTAACCTGGCTGGCAACTCAGCACCACGCAGCCGCTCGCTCACTCCCCCCCCTCCCTCAGTGGGATGGGGGAGAGAATCGGAAAGAAAATAAAAGGTTAGAGCCGAGGGCTGAGATAAAGACAGTTTAATAAGAGAAAATAATAATAATAGTAATAATGAGAATGATAACAGAATATACAGAATATACAAAACGAATGAGGCACAAGGCAATTGCTCACCACCCACCGACCGATGCCCAGCCCGTCCCGAGCCGCGAGCAGTCCCCGAGCCGCGAGCAGTCTCCCCGTGACCGACCGACCGAACTAACCCCCCCCCAAGCATGACGTTATATGGTATGGAATAGCTCTTTGGTCAGTTTGGGTTAGCTGTGCTAGCTGTGCTGTACTCCCAGCTTGTTATGCACCTGGCCGAGCAGGAGAAGCTCAAAAAGTCCTTGAGTAGTCTGAGCACTACTTGGCAACAGCTGAAAACATCAGTGTGTTATCAACATTCTTCTGGTACTAAATCCAAAACACAGCACTATGCTAGCTACTGTGAAGAAAATTAGCTCTATCCCAGCCGAAACCAGGACACTGAACCACTCCGATGTCCTGTTTTGCTGGTATCATACTTGATTAGGGCCTCTCATTCTTTGCATCTGGACGGCGTCTTCATTGCATGGGCTCTTTGCAAATGAGATCTCAAATACCTCTCTGTGCAACTGCAGGTCTGAGACGGGCTCGTGACCCTTGAGTCCTGTGCCTTGTCATCCCCCAGGGGACTGCCACAAAGATTCATCTCACGAGCTGTTGCTCTGCCTCCACTTACCTCCCAAAACATACGGAGCCCTCTGCAGTCTGCCTCTGCTGTAGCATCCCGTTGACTCATCCTGACATGTTTTATTGTCCATCTATATGCTTTTAAATAGGCCCCTCTGCTTTCTTGCATGGTTGGGAGAAGCTGCCCATAGCTGCCTGCCAGTGTAAAGCTACTTAGTCATCTTCCTGTGTCTCCTGAGATGGCTCCTGTCGTGATGATTTCTGCAAAGAATTTACCAGGGAGTTAACGAATGTTCTCCAGAGTTATCTTAAAGACTTGCCAGTAAGCCTAAGAGGCTTGGATCTCATGAGCTTTCTTCAGGCCATTTTTTTCCTTTTTTTTTTTTTTTTTTTTTTTTTTTTTTTTCCTCCTCTAAAATGAGACTGAGGCAAGTGTGTCATCTAAAGCTCTTTCATTCTCTGGGAGTCTTGTGTGTTACCAGCCTGTGTTCCCTAGAATACCTGAGTACAGGCTTGCTGCAGGGAAGGGTGGCATCTTTTACTCATAAGTTGTCCAGTCAATTACTGACACTGTGCTAAAATTACTGACAGGCTTGTGCCACTGCTAATAAGACAAATCTGTTAATACAAGGACAGACATGTAGTCAGTACACAGCTTAAAGGAAACCATTTGAGTCTGGGCTTTTTTTTTCCTTTTTTTTTTTTTTTTTTTTTTTTTTTTTTCTCTTTTCCTCCTCTAAAATGAGACTGAGGCAAGTGTGTCATCTAAAGCTCTTTCATTCTCTGGGAGTCTTGTGTGTTACCAGCCTGTGTTCCCTAGAATACCTGAGTACAGGCTTGCTGCAGGGAAGGGTGGCATCTTTTACTCATAAGTTGTCCAGTCAATTACTGACACTGTGCTAAAATTACTGACAGGCTTGTGCCACTGCTAATAAGACAAATCTGTTAATACAAGGACAGACATGTAGTCAGTACACAGCTTAAAGGAAACCATTTGAGTCTATACCATAAATTTCAGCAAATCTAGTAGTACAGTAATGCCAGCATATTTTTTATTTTCCTTTGTGATTTTTGACCTTTTCTCTTGCTTTGTTCCTCCAGATACTTTGCAAATTGTACCTGAATGAAAAGAGGAGGGAGAGAAGGAGAAAAGATTACTTTTGTGTATTTAATCTGACTGCTGTTCGTTCTGTGAACATGCAGCCAACATGAGGTTGGTGCTTGAAGATTCTGCAATTTGCATTTATGGAAATGGTGTTGAAGTTTGCTGCCTTTCAGATCCAGGCCAGGTCCAACAATGAGAGCTTGGGACAGAGGCCAACAAGCTGAATACTGTTTGTCATCTCATTGAATCAAACTCTGTACTCAAATGCTTGTTCAAGGTGCAGGGTGAGCGCTCCTGTGAGCAGACCTGTGTCCTTACAGCTGCAGGCACTGACTCATTGTCGTGGGTTGACCTTGGTTGGACCCAGGCACCCACCAAAGCCACTCAGCTAGACTCCCAATTTCTTTGCCTCCTCCCCTCCAGCAGCAGAGGATGGGGAATGGGGGTTGGGGTCAGTTCATCACACACTGTCTCTGCCACTCCTTCCTCCTTGCTCTCTTTCCCAGCTCCACTGTGGGGTCCCTCCCATGGGAGACAGTCCTCCACAAACTTCTCCAGTGTGGGTCCCTTCCACGGAGTGCAGTCCGTCAGGAACAGACTGTTCCAGTGTGGGTCCCTTGTGGGGTCACATGTCCGGCCAGCAAACCTGCTCCAGCCTGGGCTTCTCTCTCCATGGGCCCACAGGTCCTGCCAGGAGCCTGCTCCAGTGTGGGCTTCCCATGGGGTCGCAGCCTCCTTTGGGCACATCCCCCTACTCCGGCACGGTGTCATCCCCGGGCTGCAGGTGGAGATCTGCTCCACCATGGACCTCCCTGGGCTGTGGGGGGACAGCCTGCCCCACCATGGGCTGCACCAGGGGCTGCAGGGAAATCTGTGCTCTGGCACCTGGAGCACCTCCCACACTTCCTCCTTCCCTGACTTGGTGTCTGTGGGGATGTTCCTCTCGCATGTTCTCATTTCTCTCTCCCAGCTGCAATTGCCTTTTCTTCTTCTTTTTTGCCTTTTTCTTCTTCTTAATACGTTATCTCAGAGGCGCTGCCACTGTTGCTGATGGGCTGGGCCTTGGCCAGCGGCAGGTCCATCTTGGAGCTGTCTGGTATTGGCTCTGTCTGACACAGGGGAAGCTTCTGGCTTCTTCTCACGGCAGCCCACCCCAGTAGCCCTCCCGCTACCAAAACCTTTCCACACAAACCCAGTACACTCATTGAACCCAACACAAGCCACCTTTTCCAGACTCCTGTAAGAGCATTGGCATTTCAGGAAGAGCATCCATTTTCTGCCCTGCTTTAAATCTCAAGTGATCAGTCAGCTGGTCTTGAATGTTTACAGGACCGTTGTTGCTATAGAACCCACACATATCGCAGTGTTTGTCCTCATGTGGCCACTCTTACCTGTAGAAATGCTGCTATCCGTGTTTTCTTCATGGAGGGCCAAGTTTATAGCATGGAGGTCTGTTGGAAAAAACAGCACAAAATGGTGATGCTGTGGCCACCTAACAGGGACAGCTCTGTGTAGGTCCACTCTACTCCTTTGTCTGTTATGGCTGTGCTTGCATTGCCTGCCTGAACTGACTTTGAACCCAGACACTGTCGTGGCAGTCCTGCTGTCTTTTTTTTCTGCGTACAAATTGATAGATACCCTACGGAAGGTCAAACAGTTTAGTTAATGTTGCGTGGTGGCCTTTGCAGGGGAAAGGTGTGAAGGAAGAGGGTTCCCATGCTTGGGATGGAAGGGAAGGCTGCGGATACCTGATTTTATTTTTTGCCTGCTACTTCCGAGACCAAGTTTCTTCATGCATTTCTGTCTTCCCCTTCATGCTTTCTCTGTGGAAAGGGCATCCACAGGTGCCTAGGATGTTTGGTTTTCATCTAATGTTCTGTGGTTTCAAGAGTAAAGCAATATGAGCGTAATGGTGTCATCTTGTAGCATGTTACAGCACAAGCTTCATTCGGGCTTGGGCCAGCAATATTTGGGCTGTGCGGGGGTGGGGGTGACCTGTCCTGGGGGAGAAGATCTTCCTTGCTGTAAATGGTGCATCAGCTAAGCATCTACACAGGATATTAAATACAGGATTTCACAGGCTATAGGTAGCGTTGTCTTCTGGGACTTGCTGTTACACTTGCAGCGATGGGTAGTGCTGTGAGAAGGTTTTTATGGGATAGTAGGAACAAGCAAGAGGGAGGGTACAAGGCAGCTGCGGGCAGCAACAGACTTTTCCTTCTGTCACATGATCACAAAATGGTTTGGATTGGAAGGTACCTTTACAGGTCATCTAGCCCAACCCCCTGCAGTGAGCAGGGACATCTCCAACTCGACCAGGTTGCTCAGAGCCCTATCTACCCTGACCTTGAATATTTCCAGGGATGGGGCATCTGCCACCTCTCTGGGCAGCCTGGTCAAGTGCTTCACCACCCTCATTGTAAAAAATTTCTTCTTTATATCTAGTCTGAATCTACCCTCCTTTAGTTTAAAACCATTACACGTTGTCCCATCGCTACAGGCCCTGCTAAGAAGTTTATCCCTGTCTTTCTTATAAGCCCCCTTTAAGTACTGAAAGGCTGCAATAACTTCTCCCCAGAGCCTTCTTCAATCCAGACTGAACAACCCCAACTCTCTCAGCCTTTCCTCATAGGAGAGATGTTCCATCCCTCTGAGCACTTTTGTGGCCTCCTCTGGACCTGCTCCAACAGGTCCATGTCCTTCTTGTGCTGAGGGCTCCAGAGCTGGACACAGTGCTCCAGGGGAGGCCTCACCAGAGCAGAGCAGAGGGGCAGAATCACCTCCCTCGACCTGCTGGCCATGCTGCTTTTGATGCAGCCTAGGACACAGTTGGCTTTCTGGGCTGCAAGCACACACTGGCAGCTCGTGCCCAATTTTTTGTCCATCGGTATCCCCTGGCAGCTTGTCCAGTGGGGCCACAGGGCAGGAGAAGAGCTTGAACGGCTCATGGGCTGTGCACCAGAGCTGCACCCAGTACGAGAGGGCGTGCAGAGAAGGGCCAGGGAGCAACCCTCCATCTTCAGAGAATATCTGACTGATGCAGCCCGTGTGCAGAAGAGGGGGGTCCTGTGGTGTCATGAAGGGTCCAGACCCCAGTGTGGCGTGACTCGATGTTGTGTCCTCTCCCTGCAGAGAAACTTGATGTCAGAGATGCAGGAGGGAGGGATTGGAAAGTTTTCCCCAAATGCTGATTTCCTTTTTCAGCCCAAGAGTCCATTACACAACTGGAGACTTTGAGGGAATGAACAACAAAAAAAGCCCCTGCAGCCTTTAACATATAGACAAGAGTGTGAAATCTTGCTTTTCAGACTGTAGGCTGTTCTCTAGGTGATGAAGTTGGGAAAACTTCCTTCTTACAAACTTACTTATTCCATAATTGCAGAATGCAGGATTACCAGTGTCTTGTCTTCAAAAGTATCTGATCCTGGCTGTTGCTGAGCTGCGCTGGCAAGGCAGAAAAGCCTGTTATCAAGATGCAACTTTTATTTTTTTTTTTTATGTGGGATTTGAGATTTACCTGGGCCACTGTAGCCTGGAATGAGTTGACTTTCAAGCAGAACTCTGGCTGTAGGTATAGGAGGGCAGAGGTTTTCTCAAAATGTGTGTATTTTATTCACATCTCATTTGCCATAGCTAATCTAGTCTTCCTCCAGCACTGTGCAAGGATGTGTGTTTTGGCAGCTTTGCAGGGGTGGGAATGACAAATAATGTCTTCCTGTGGCCAGATAACTGTTACCTGTTGCCCTGCTTTGCAGGAGGGTGTTGGGAGACAGGTAGAACTTGTGTATACCAGCTTGGGTAGTGGTCTGGTGATAGCACCGGCATTGAGTGTTGGGGATCTACTGCGGGCTTAGCGCAACCAGCAACATGCTATCCCTGACTTAACCCACAGTCACATGTGAGGTCTGGGCAGAGCTGGAGGAATGAATGTGATTCCAATACAAACCTTCTTCCTTCCTTTTCTTTCTCCATCATAGCTGCCTGCACCTTGCAGAAAACACGGCTCTCCCCACTGGAGGGCCAGGAACTGTGCAGCCATGAACCCAGTTAGTTATCTGTGGATTCCGCCATAGCCTAGCCATGTTAAAAAGTGAAGAAATCATGCCTGCTTTAAAATGATGCGTGTCTACAGCTTGAGATCAGTGAAGGCTGGCATAACTGCTGCCGGCTCCATGTGCAACGTGCAGGAAGGTATCTTGCGCTTAGTGATCCAAGCGTGGTGTGACTTTTATAGATCAGAATTTAGTAATGATTTGGTGAACTCTCAAACTGAAGGGACTTGCATTTTTTTTATTGTTTTAAACACTTCAGATATATCTTTATTTCACGCTTTATACAGTTGTTACAGCTGTGGGTATCTTTTGTCATCATGTCCCCACCTGACTTGAAAGAAAAGCAAGTGTTTGCATCTTGGATGTGGTTGTTGGATTTCATTAGATGACAGGACTCAAAGTTGGCACGTTCTGGCAAACCTGCAGCTCTGGTACCATGGAGCTGGTCTCCACAAATGCAGCTCTGGAAGAACCAGTGTTCTTGCATCTGCAGCTGAAAAAAACCCTATAAACCTAAAAAGACCTTCTTTCTCTCTCTCCCCCTTCCTTTAATCTCTTGTTTGGCAGGGAGCAGAGAGGAAGATCAGGGATGAAGAGCGAAAGCAGAGCAAAAGAAAAGGCAAGTGCACTGACCCCAGCTCTCAGTTGAATGCCTGTAAGTAGAAATTATTCCATCAGTATTTTAAATATTAGATCTCATTTTAGCTACAAATAACTTGTGCAGTAGAATTCTTAAGTCAATTTTCTATTCCCTGTGGAATAGTGCTTGTTTTAAACAGTTGCTGATGGAGTCGTTGTGTTTTGCAATATACTGGGTCATGTAGGTCTTCACTTCTACATAGTTCTTCCTGTCCAAGACAGCATCCTGCTGTGTATTCAGTCAGGTATGGGTTTTAGCAGTTGAAGGGACAGGGTGAGGGTGGGATTTTTGGGCAGTGCTGGAGCCCTTGCAGCTCCAGGCGGCAGCGAGAACTGGAGCTGTTCCAAATGTTTCCAGCTTGATCCTAAACTTATGCTTCTGTTAAAAATGTGTTTACAACTCTGCAGCAAGGCAGTGGCGGCCTTGGGACTGAGCTTCCGGCCTCCCACCCCTACGCTCGCTCTTCTAGAGCAAAGTGGTCCTTAGTAAATAATTTCAATAGAAGTTGTTTCTTCACATTT